TGAACGAAGGCATTTAACTTTCCACTGAACGAATAATTCATACAGGGCAGAAAGGTGCTCAACAAAATGCTCTTCATCAATACCAGAAAAAAATTCTTCGTCTACTAGACACATATATAAATATATATCATTTAAATGAATATATATATATATATATATATGTCATTTAATTGAATACCAAGACCAATCGAATTATAAGTTGTAGGATTTCCCTGCCAGTGATGTTACTAGAATGCTCCCACATGCCGGGATCAGCTATGCCTGGCCTGTCGCTTTCAGGCTGTATACCTTCGGTTAGTACCCATTGCCTGTTCTATATAATATATCATTTGATTGAAAAGGTGAAAAATTCATCGGATGGAACAGCCTCGCTCAATAATGTATGGATTAAGCTATAATCCTCGTGCCAGCCTTGACCGCTATTCCCAGTGCTACTCTAATCATGGCCGATGAAGGTCACATGGATATACTGGTTCGGATTTCGGCACTCATGCGGGTGCTCACTCCAACCACTTCTCATTTTCAAAGTTTTAACGAAAATCAATGACTAACGTAATTAAAAGTAAAAAATGCGCGTGAAACATGTGTGAGAGAAGAAACCGCTTGGACAGCCTTGCCGAGGGAGCTCAAAGATTACTTTTTGGCCATTTTTGGCGTGTCTGTTTTCCTCGGTCCTATGATACCACATTAACCGGCCAAACCCAGACTCCTCACGAATTGTGCGCGTTTGTATCCAACATATGTTCTATCGTTTAGAAGGAATAAGGCCAATCCATCGACAGAAAAGTGGCGCAACGGCTCGAACTCAGCAAGTATCGCTACATGAATTCGACGATGCTGGGTAGGTTGATGCCAATCAATTTACCGAGAAACATTTTTTTTCTTGGGATTTTCGCCTCCAAGAAGAAGCTTGGCAATAATTCTTCGCAAGTGCTGTAGAAATTTTACAGATACAAACAATGAATATCCCTGGCTGGGAGACTGGAAGAGGACTGAGGCCTAAAATCTTCTATATGTGTTAACATATACAGTTTGTTTGGCGTTGCTGACCCACCATCGTGGAGAGAAATACAGTCGAATTTTGATAATTAATGAAACTGGATCTGGAAATGACGATATTTTCTGATTAAAAATCTTACTGGAGT